AGTAATACTTTACTCTTAATACCTTCTTAATAACAGCAGAAGGCATGTGTTATGTCCAACAATGTATTTTCTTAAAGATCTAAAAACAACCCACCAAACCCCAACCTCCCCAAAATACATATCCTTGACAGCAAACAAACATCATTATTATACAAATTTACTGAGATGTACTGTAATTCAGTTTGTCACTAAGTTAGTAATCAATATATTCTTACAGTCCTTTCCATAAACCAAATCAGAAGACATTAATGGATCATTTTGGTTTTTTGAAAGAAAGTCCTGTGCACAGGATTTTTTTAGACTACTTACAGACTTACTTTTTCCAGAAAATATTATTGAAAACAAGCAGAGTCAGGTTTGTTATTACAGAGGTCTGAAAACTATGGGATTACTAGAAAAACTAATTTTTAAAATGTAGGCCTGCTTTCAAATATGCATTTAGTCAGACGTATCAGGAATGGAGACAGACTCTGGCAGAGAGAGAGAGAAAGAAAGAGCAAATGAATTAAGTAAGTGACCAGCAATGCACACAACATACACTTTGGTCTGGTGCTAAACCCAAGTCAAAAACCACAATGCAAGCCTGTCCTGGTCTGAGACAAGAAATGGGTTTCATCAGATTGGCAATTAGTCAAACCTGAGAATGGACAGATGTTTTAAAGGAGTCTGAGTTTCCAAACTGCACCCCACTGAGGCAGCATCTTTGTGTTGGATGAGCAATGGAATCTGGAGCATTTCATATCCTAAAATCTAGCAAATAACACAGAGGTGGATTCAGAAGACGTTGTTTTTTGATGAGACAGAGATTTAAGAAAGTTTTCATAGCCCCCAGAGTTGCTTTTATATGAAGTTTTCCACTCATACAGGAGTCGAATCTGACCAACTGTTATCTTGAGACTTGCTGAAACAGCTCAGTGCGTTATTCCAGACAGGCCAGGATGAACTGAATTGCTGCACAGCTGCCTTCACCCAGCCACAGTGCTAGGATTTCACAGTTGCAGACATCTGTTTCAAGTAGACACAGCTGATTCAAAGAGGAAAGCAGCAACGCAGGAACATTCAGTAGAAGAGATGTTGGCAGAGTTATACTGTCTCTACATTCTTTCCTCAAAATACCAGATCAACTCACAGTGTCAAAAAAGACTGCTGAACTAAATTCCACCCAGATCATAAATATAAAAAAATAAAGGATAGATTCCTTATGGACACAAGTTCATACCTTTAATTATTTTCTTTTCTAAAACCAAGCAAAAAGCCAGACACATTTTCATAAACAACAAAGGTAATACAGCAGGCAGGAGTCACTCTGATCACATTGGGGATAATTCCTTTGTAAAATCCATGAACTCCTTCTTTCCTTTAAAGACAAAGTAAAACATTAAGGTTCAAATAAAGTCTTTTAACAGAAATCAGACATAAAACAAAGCCTGGCATTTTTTTTTCTCACACTCATTCAGGGAGGTACTTTGGGTTAGAAGTAACTACTTCAGAGTAATTTTTTACTGCAGTCTTTAATGACTCATAATAAACCTTAACTCACTATTTTCTCCTCTGAACATACAACAATATTCTGTAGATCAGTTATTTAGCCTAGGGTTTGGGGAGGTTTAAAGTGTATTGTCTAAGTAGAATAAAATTTAGTATCTTTCTTCCTGTCAGCAGCCGGTTAAAATATCTTAAAATTTTTGCAGCCTGTTCCAAAAAGCATTTACATATTTAAGCTCACTGAAGTGAGTGGGGCTGAAAGGCTTGGTGGGTTTGGGTCATGTAACATCAAGTGAGCTGAGAGTAAACACAACTAAGGAGAGTCAACATTTATTTTTTGAGAATTTAAGCACCTCCTCCAGAATTTTGATTCTACTAGCCAATAAACAGGCATCTAACTTGTCCCAATTTGAATCAGTGTTCATGTTAGGGCTGGCAAAAAGTTTCAAATACGTTCATCTCAGCTCCCTATTTTCAGGTTTCTCAGAGGCCTAGGACACCTGGAACGATGAGCACAGTTAACACAGACCCTGGAAAACACTTGTGTGTGGTCTACACTACCCTCCCTAGGGCTATAGGTTGCATTTGTTTCATCATGAGTACAGCAGTGGCCCCAGAATGGCTGTATCACACTTCACCAGAACTAATAAGCCTTCCTATAGACTGCAGGGCACAGCACTGGGACATAAGAGCTATTTCTGCTTTGAATTGCCTTCAGTCAAAATGGTTGTACTGCCTGTGAGCCAGGGGTGCTCCTGGAACAACACAGCCTCAGCCACTTGCCCAGGTGGCACCTCTTCATACCCCAGGAGCTAGCTGACTCCATTCACATCTCTCCAGCAATACGCTGCAACCCAGAATTATTGTCCAAAGCAAGATGAATAGTGGCTGCATGTGCAACGGTGGCCAACCTGCGTAGCCACAGAGTTCTGTATGCAAATGCTCACATGTACTGCGGGGCTGAGGGAAGAAGCTTTGTGAGAAGGTATGAATAGGTGTGAGATCACAGTTCTCTCAAGGTCCTATGGGAAGCTGGGACTAGACTACAAATGCAATCAGGCCCCAGGGTAACCCAGGGACATGAGGATAAAGAGCTCTGGCTAGCTCACTTCACCTTGCCAGGAATTTAGATTATCCACAACTCTCATCAGCACAACTCTCCTATCCTATGTGATAAACTAAAGCAGTTCAAATGTGACTTCATTGTTTAAGAGCCTCAAACCAGCCAAATCAATATTATTTTTTAACCTGTAAGTGAAATTTGCTAGGGAAGAGAGAAGAGAGACAGGATAAACAACAGAAACCTGCAGGCTGGCATGGACTGTCTTCTCCTACATCCTCAGCTTACCACTGTGGTGGCATTTTGCACAAAATGACTTTGTACGACTAACATTGTGTTTGCTCTGAGCTGCACTGGTTCTGCAAGTCAATACAGAAGCTAGTGAAGATAGTTCTGACTCTGTAAGACTCACTTCCCAAGACGTAAGCTTTAAATTCTGCATGCCTACCTCCATGTCCTGCGGATCACATCAAACACACCAGAGTACGTGTTATGCTGATCTTGAAGACGAGCTCGCACAACTTGATAGGGATATGTTGCTGACACAGCAAATATTTTGGATACAGCTGCCATCATTATGTATTCCACAGTGTTCTAAAAACAACAAAAATTACCAGGCTTGCCTTAGGTATGGTTTAAATTAGCCCATTTCCCAAAATCTTTCTTGATTTTTAAACGTTGAACTAAATAATGCTCTAGATTCTCCCCCCTTATAATACACACATTAAAACCATGGCAATGTTTTCTATATGCAGTGCTACAAGTAAGTGATCGTAAAATATTGTTGTGGCCTCTCATTTCTATCAAGTGAAACATTTCTTCCAAAAGCAACTACCTCTGCCCAACTTGCACCTGACCAGTTTTCCAGGGTTTAATACCACCATCCCTGTTTCCACAAAGTGAAACAAAATAACATTTCTCCCTCTAAAATTCTCAAAACACTTGCCACATTAAGAAGTTGTTTTCCCAAAACAGTGCTAACCGTTGCTTGTTCCTAAGAAGTGAAAAATATTCTACACTCCAATTAATGTATCAGTACTTTGTACATTTGGCTGCTCTATAACCTAGACAAATACAATAAATTTCTATTTATTCACATGCCACAACACGTTTTTATTCTCATGCATCATACCAATTTTGCATCTGATACTCTGTTTCTATACTTGTTGTATCTCTCTTTCAAATCCTCATATGCCATGAACTGAAGTGCTCCATGTGAAGTTCCAAACAGACCAGGCACGAATCCCTAAAAAAGGAATAAAACAAGGTTAAACAGTAATGCACAAAAACTATACAACTGGACAGAGCACAGCTCATGCACACATGTATGTCCTCCCTGAATTTACAAACTGTACCTGCACAACTGCTGCTGTGCAGTATGACTCAAAGCTGGTTCTGGGTTGGTGTTCTTATGGGCAGGCAGCACACAGACATGTCACAAATACTACTTTTCTCCAAATGGCACACAGCCTAAAGACACCTAAGGAGTCACTGAGATAAAGCAAGTGGCCTAGGGACTCCACCCCACAGAGCAGACGCTGGTAACACGGACCAGGATTGCAAGAGGACAAATTGAGCTGTGGTCTTGCAAACGTGCTGCTCAGTGCCTGCCCCTTCCACTGGCACTAAGAGAGACTGGGAAGGCATGACAGAAGCTGGTATCTCAGTGGGAAGGGCCATCAGGAGTAGAGGTACAAAAAAATTATTGTGATCAAGCCCTGGAAATAGATACATTTGTGTTTGCAAGTGTGTCTATATAAATGTGTATCTATGGTAGATACACATTTCTCTATTTGAAATGTCTGTGTCTATACAGAATCATAGAATCGTTTAGGTTGGAAAAGGCCTTTAAGATTATCAAGTCCAACCATAAACCTAACCATGTCCACCACTAAACCATGTCCCTGTGAGAGAAGACAGTGAGCTGCTCCAGCACTTTCTTACACACACAAACACACACTGATGGAAAGCTGAAGGGCACAGATGGGAAGCTAACCCATACAAGGACTTACAAATGATTTAAAGAATTAAATCTAAGATTCAGATAAGTTTGAGTGCACTCCTCACCCTGCTCAGAGCACATCCCAAGGCAGCCCAGCAGAGGTGACCAAAGATGTTAAAAAGTAGTCTGGGAAATGTTCCCCATTTGAAAGAGGCAGCAATGGAAGCATGAGTGTAATAGGAAAATATTCATCAACCTTTTCTTTCAAAAAAGTTGAAATGAAGGAGGAAAATGGGTATTTTCTGAAGTGTCTCCACAAGAAAGAGAATGCAGGAGTTCCCTCAGGAGCAGGACTATCTCAGCTGAAAATGTGCTGCCAGCTGCACAGGTTCTGAGAAGCACTAATTCTTTCTGAAGAGTTAGTCACTTACACTGGAAAAATACAAATAAATGGGGAATTAATCATCTTGGCCAGAAATGACTTAAGGGAGCCAAAAGCTTGCTGAAAACTATTGCAAAGGGATAATTATAAAGGAGTTAGTGATCAAAAAATGTGGATAAAATGACTCAAAAAAGCAAAATTCCCCCCCCCCCCAAATACTGGTATTGAACAGTTTTATCTTATTTCCTATGATCCACTCAGCTAAGAAAAAGGAACTTAAAAATGTGTCCAGACACAAAATATTAGACTTAATGGGAAGCCCAGAATGTTGAAAAAAGACTTATCAATATACTATTAAGAGACTGGAGAAGAAGAAAAAGAGAAGGAATCCTGGTCGGGTCCACTGAAACAGAATTAACTGGACAAAAATATAAACTCCTAAATTGCAGGAAAAAACCCAAACTAGAACAGCAGGACTAAAAATTGCACAGAGCTTCCATCACTTCAGAGATCATCTCTCTGCATGCTATAGATTTCTTAAGTTTTATTACAGCCATTCAGGAAGTGATTTTTTAAGAATTTCATTGATAAACGAGGATAGACTTATTCAGACAGCAGAAAATAATTGTCCTGAACTCATCATCAGTGACCATGAACTGATGAAATGCATTAAAGGCTAGTGAATGTCCCAGAAAAAAAACACTTCCTCAAACGAAAATAAGTGGAATTAAACTACAGATCTGTATTTTGTCTATTGTGAGCATAATCATAGGATTTTGTTAAACTTGAAGCTGAAGGATAGCAACAGAGGGGAAATGGACAGCTCTGGTTTTCATAAAACCTAGATCAGAAATGAAAATAAACCAGTAATATTAAAACAGAAGAAGAGAAAAACAAAATTATAAAAAATCTCAAAGAAAAAATTATCTGGGTCAACAGAACAAGAACAGTGTGAAAGTTATATATAGTGATAGCAGAGAAAATCTTCACAAACATTTGTTCATGATTAGACAGTAAAATCGTTAGAAGGCAGTGGAAGTAACTGCTCTCTACTTGGAAAGAATTAGAGTGATGTATTTATATCATAGGAGAATGAGGTAATACTTTCCCCACCGACATAAGAAGAATGTCAAACAATGTTTAAGAGTGCTGAACTCTTAAATTTAAGCCAGCAGATTTGGGTAACTTGCACCCAAGAGTCCTTAAGCATCTACTGATATATTTGATAAACAAGTACCAGCGTACTCTGACTCTCATGCTGAAGAGGAAAACTTCCAAAGTCTGAGGGACTTTTAATGTTGGGCCAATATTAAAAAATGCAAGAAGGGAGTGAGGCAACTGTCAGCCAATGTGCCTCAGCCACATAAGAGCAGACCCAGGCGTCTATTGATCATAGAAAACAATGTGTTCTTATGGAAAAATGTTTCAAAGCAAAACAGATTCCTTCACAGTACTGAAACATCTTGGCTAAGGAACTTTTTGAAACTTATTCCTACCCTATTTTCTTATTCTTACATTTTCATACAAAAATCTTTCTTGACACAGAATTTGACAGCATTTGATATTTATTTTTCATCTATAATATGACTGTGAAGATCAATTTTAAAATAATTTCACTTCATGTATTTTGTGTTATTTTTTAATATTCAAAACGTATCTTTAGAAGATTTTTGCCACGAGGGTTTGACAAGAACAATGGCTTCTCAAAGAAGACCTGTTTGAATTCTCTTTTGGAGGATTAGAACAATAGGCAGAATTAAATATATAATATAT